AACAATAACAATTATACTTTTAAATTGTGTAAGTAGAAGCATAGTCTCCTTGTGGGATTAATCAATTTTGTAATTTATATCAGTAACCAACCAGTAATCAATAAGTCAAATGATAGTCAGGAAATTTACTGAATTTAGATCAGTTAGAAAGCTGCTGAAATCAGGCAAAACAGTTGAATTCAGCTGAGCATTTAGAAACAAATGGAAATTCTAAAATTATAAATCACTTATAGGTGAGAAGAATTCTGGTGGCATGGAGATAGGAAACTATGCTGAAATCCAGAAGGCAAGCAATTCAAATCCACCAGCAGTTCTGCAGAAGAAAGGGAAATCTCCTCCAGTATGATTAACTACCTCTGAAAACATGCTGGCCGGTCAGCTACAGGTTGGTTCAACTTGAAGGCACACAACAACAATGACCACCTACCCAAGTTGACACAAAAATTAACCATCATAATAAAGAAAGAGTTCATGGACAATTTCATTCCGGTTCAAAGAGAGTTCTTACCTGTTAAAAAGACTGTTCTTGAATAAAAAGGGAAAATGCAACATAGTGCAAGTAATTCTGAATTTTTCACGACTTAGATTTCTTGGGACACTAATATTTCCGTAAAAGATCATTTCTTCATTTCCAGTTTTTTTTTGTTTACCAAGTAAAGCATTTAAGCAATTGCAGATAGCAGCTAGGACATTTGTTGACAAGCCTCAATAATTTGCCTAAGGCATAAGTGAAGACTCAATTCCTTAACTGTGACCCATAAGGGTCATCATCTCTCATGGCTAGTTTTATATTTTAGCCTTTTCTATTTGTAACAGTTGTTCAGTGGGCAATTATCACAAGTATCTCAGGTGAGCCAATTCATCTCTCTAAATGTTCTCAGGTTGAGACAAAGTAAAATGTGCAGATACATGTAAAACAGTAATTTCCTTTCCTTGTGTTCTTGTCCATACATCTTTCCTTGATTTTTACCCTTCAAAGGGTGATTATTGATCATCCTATGCTATTTACTGCCTTGGAAAACCCAGTGGAGGGACAGCTTTGGGTTTCTTCAAAGTCTGTGGTACACAATATTGTTGTTGTTGTTGATTTCTGTCGAGTTGAGCATGACTCATAGCAACTCTATAAATAAAAGACTTAATGCCTTTCCATAGCTATCGTCATTTCTCCAAGTTCATAGAGTTTCCAGAGGCATGTGGTTTAGGAAGTGGATGCCAATCCTGCTTCCAAATCTTTTTTACATTTGGAAACTCCACTAAACACTGTCCACATTGGGAAACCATTCTGGTATTTAATACCCCAATGGTACAAGGTTCTGCATCACAGCACATCCAGTTTACTTCATACTGCACATTGACAAAGAGTGATATACTAAGTAGAAGAGTGTTCCTCCAGATATAACAGCACTAGTTTCATTTAGCAGTGGTTAAGTGTTGTCAAGTTGAATAAGTCTGAGAGTAAGTTTTACACTAAAGACCTGAACTCTATTCTATAACTAACATCATTTCTGTATAGACCTCTGTTTTATAACTATCATCATTTCTGTACATTCACAGAGTTTAGAGAGATTGTAGAGATTAGAGAGTTTGTAGAGTTTTCAGAGGCATCTAGTTTAGGAAGTGGATGCCTCTCCTGCTTCCCAGCATAAATCAATCTGGAAGATCATCCAAGCACTGTACATAATTGGTAACCATTATGGTATTTGACAAGACTATGGAAGAGTTTGTAGCATCATAGCAACATCAAATTGTTCAGTTCAGCAAATAGACAAAAGATTGCTGTTTTTTTCAAGGAATATTCATTCAAAAATTAATAAATTTGGCCAGAGGGCAGCAGGCCCAAGGACCCTGCGGGGTTTTAAAGCTACAGCTTTGGGATTACAGAGCAGCTTCTTACTACTAGACCACCAAAACTCCCTGATTATTAAATGGGCAAAATAAAAACCAAGAGTGTATGTTAACAAGATTGTGGATAAATAGTCCTTTAAGTGCATATTTATTGAGAATCAAAATTTTCCACAAACATCAAAAATTTTCAGTATTGAGCAATATCATGTTTCTTTCTGGATCCAGAGACAGGTCTCCACTAATATACTACAGAACTAGTTAAGAGAACCTCTTTTACTACTATTATGTGTAATAGCAAAACATTAGGAACAGAATAAAAGTTCTATATATGAAATTTTTTGCATTTAATTTTAAAAAATTTTTATGTTAACACAAGGAAAATCCTATAAAAATTGACAAAACATTTAAACAAATAATTAATGACAAAAATTTTTAAACTACTTGACACATGTAGAAGGATTCTCAACTGCACTCAAAAGAAATGCAAATTTAAATTATTCCGAGATATGAAAAGTCACAGAAAATAACTTTAATTTCGCAATAATTTTCTTTACACAATGTGGTAAAATCAAATCAATATAGAAAGGCAAACCTTTAAAATGGAAGACAAGCACAAAATTAATTAACTTTATTGTATTTTGAATTAATGATGTAAAGTTATAAAAATAATTTTAATTGTAAGTTTTCATATATGATTTTGACTTTTTAAATAAAAAAATAAATATTTTGTGAACAAACATTGGACTCTCTACATAATTTTCTACTGAATTCCAAGTTGTCAAAATTTTTAAATTTTTAATCTATCTCTAATTAATGATTTGAACTTGCATCTTAAGAAATTTAAAAAGTACTCATTATAGAAATACAAGTTCAATTACAATGACTTAACACCAGTCACCTATTGAAATGATTACAATTAAGAACAATGACTATATAGTGCAACAATGAATGAATGGAAATCCAAAATCTCTGTAAATGGTCATTGAAATTAATTTAAAAAAATCGATGTTTCACATAAAAAATTAAAGAAATTGATCATAAAAAATGGTGACTATATCAAGTATTGTGGAAGTAGTGGACAAGTAAGGATTGTGAAATTGTGGTGGTTGTTGTTGTTGTTCCTGTTATGTGCTGTCAAGTTGGTATTATGGTACACTCCCAAAATTAAATACTAGGCAGCACTAAGAAATAATTATTTTTTAAAAGGCTATATAACATGGGAAAGTCTAGAGAGCATTATACTGAGTGAAATACCTCAGTCACACAAGGATAAATACTGCATGAGGCCACTATTGTGAAAATAGGAAGATAACTGAGCAAGACATGCATAAATGTTCAAAAGGGAAAAGGGAAAGGAAAGAAGTAAAATGAGAGCAGAAGAAAAGGAAGAGGGGGGATAACTAGGAAGGCAGAGGTAGATGGCAGAGGGAGAGGGCAAAAAAAGGAAAAATTCAATGGGGACTTGAGAAGACCAAGACCAAATGATAATAAGGGTAGATTAATGATAATTCATGATGTACAATGTATATTAATAATTGTATAAAACACAATGTACATGACTGAAACACAATGCATATAAACAATTAAACCAATTAAAAAGACTAAAAAAATGAAAAATTAACACTAAAAAGTTGATCTTAAATTTGGAATTGGACAGAGAAGATCATGCAAAAGAATCGAGGGCCCATCATTGTTCTAAGTGGTATACTGTGGGGAATAAGAATCTATGTGAAATGCAATCTGGAAATAGACCAAGAGAACATACGTGTAAAAGAAAATAAGTAGGAATATCTCTTAGTATCATAGTCATAGGGATCTCTGGTGACTTAGTGGTAAGGCATTGTCCTACCATATGAAAGGGTGGGTGTATGGTTCAAATCCACTAGCTGTTCCATGGGACAAGGATAGACAATCTCCTCCTGTGTCATTTACAGCCTCTGAAAACCCAGAGGATGGTCAGCTCTGAGTTGGTTCTGAGTTAATGGAACATAACAACAAAGCAACATCATACCAGTGATCTGGGATATAAAAGAGAAATCTATTTTCTATGCTATTTCACTTTTAAAAGGAAATATCATTAGTTTTCTATTGCTTTTTCAGAACAGTGAAGTTTTAAATCAGAAAGTTGCTTCACTGGTCTATCATGAACCCGAAATTTCACTATTAATAATTTCTTTATTTATTTTTGTGAAGGTTCCTTGGAATTATTTTTTTTTCATATGACTCTCTTTTTTTTCATGGCTGTATTCTCTATGCCTCTTACCTACTTTATATTTTCCAAATTTCTTTCTATGTACTTTATTCCCAGGTTTTTAAAAATAATTTTAATGAACATTTACAGAGAATTTGGACTTCGGTTCATTCATTGCTGCACTTCTCTACCTGCCCAGCCCTCTCCGCCCACCCCCCCAGTTTGCTCCTCTCTTTCAAAAGTAAAAGAAAGACTCCCTCCCTGGTACACAATCCCCCCGGGCCCCTCCCACCTTCCCAAGTACATTCCACTATGCAACCTTAATTGTGGACTCTTGTGATAACGATAGGGTATTATAGAGTTATATTTTTTTAAATTTAGGTTGTTTATTTTTCATTTCATTGAACATCTACAGAGATTTTGGGATTCCATTCATTCATTGTTGCACCCTTCTCCCCGCATATATGGTAGAACAAACAAAGTAGGAGATATAGACAGAACCCCAAGCAAACAAGTAACTATATGAGTATTTCTTTAATTCAGTCCTTCAAAAACAATTAAGATTATTATTTTATTTAAGAGTCCATTCTGATGCCATTTACACACAGTGTCATTCAGTTGGGAAATATAGGAGAGAAAATCTGTTGATTTTCTGCAACTAAAGGAAAAACAGTATTATATCTGATGTTTCTTAACTAGATAATATATAGTATGATATAGATTCACTTGAGACAATTTAAAAAATATAAATATGTCTAAGCTTTGTTAAATAGAGTGAATCTTAATACATAAAATTATTGTTCAAGTAATATAAGTAAAATAAATTTTAATAAAAGGGCAACATTAATTTCATAACTAATGAAAAGAATAAGAAAGGAATATTAATTATAAGAAATGGTAAAAAAAGACATTAACTTTAGAGAAAACACAAAGAAGCAGGCTGTTAACATGAAGTTTAGTATTTCTAACTACCACTCTGGGGTAGACTATCCCTCATACCCATGACTCTGCTTAACACAATCTTTACATCCTTATTTCTTAAACTGTAGATTAAAGGGTTCAGCATAGGGATCACTGTGGTATAGAACACAGAAGCCACCTTCTCCTGGGCCATATTGCTGCTGGATGTTGGCTTAAAGTACATGAATATGACAGAACCGTTAAAAACCCCAACAGCTGTAAGATGAGAACCACATGTTCCAAAGGCTTTAGACTTTCCCTCAGTTGAGTGTATCTGAAGAATGTTACACAGTATGAAGACATAAGAGATAATTATGGCCACAGTTGTTGTAAGCACATTGAATCCACCCACAAATATCAACAGAAGTTCATTGATGTAGGTACTAGAACATGAGAGCTGTAGGAGAGGAAGCACATCACAGAAGTAATGGTGGATGACATTGTCTTGACAAAAGACAAGCTTGATCATGGAGATAGTGTAAGGCATAGCCCCCAAAGATGCCATGATATAGACTCCAGTTACCAGCACACTGCAGACCTTCTGAGACATGATGACACTATAAAGCAATGGACTACATATTGCTACATATCTATCATATGCCATAGCAGTTAGCATATAGCACTCAGCTGTAGCGAAAAGACAAAAGAAGAAAAGCTGTGCCATACATTCAGGGTAGGATATAATATTTTTCTCCCATATAAAATTGCCCAGGAGTTTAGGGGTTATAACCGAGGAATAAAAGAGATCTATTACTGACAAATTGCCAAGAAAAAAGTACATAGGAGATTGGAGCTTGGAACTGAATGAGATGAGGAGGATCATACCTACATTTCCCACTACAGTAACCCCATAGATCCCTAGGAACAGGAGAAAAAGTGGCAACTGGAGTTCTGGGTTGTCTGTTAATCCCTCGAGGACAAATTCAGTCACTGTGGAATAATTTTGTCCATCCATTCCCTTCATGAGATGGATGTGAGACTAAGAAAAGGAAAATCAAAGGCATTAAGAATCCTATTTGTCTATTATTAATAATAGCTTTACTCATATTTGAGAGAAGAAAAAGAACCCTTAGTTAATGTGGGTAATCAATAAGTTGATTAATTACTTTGTCAAGTAAGAATTGTGTAATTTTAGCCAGTGATATTCATAAGTTGTAGAAAAAGAAAAAAAAAACAAGGCATAGATAAAATGTGTTTTTAAAATGTATTCTCTGTTATATTCTTAATAGAAGACAGCTGTCAGTATGTATATACCTTCACAGGTGTTATAACTCTGATTATATTTTACAATGCTGGAATTATTGGCACTAGGAATATCAAGGTTTTCTTAATTTAAGAAAGTTTTAAGAACAAATTTCAATTCTGGAATTATTGGCACTAGGAATATAAAGATTTTCTTAATTAAAAAAAGTTTTAAGAACAAATTTCAGTTTAAATTGTGCATCTATTGTGCATTCTGGGTTGCTGTTTTCCATAGAATACAAAGTTCTCCTCCAGAAGCTGGTAAGGGAATTCATATCTTACAGTGAAGATTCATAGTCAAATGGAGGTGCAAAAGTCATAATGCTCCAAATTAACCAGGTCCTTAATTTAATCTTTGTGTTCTTTATTAAAATGAAAGATTATTCTGCTATAGCTGTTTTCTAAGAACTTTGGAAGCAATGAAACTAAGAGGCAGAGACCTATTTTCTCATTGCTGCTCCAACCTACATGTACATAGGCAATAGATTTATGTTTTTCTCTAGCTTCAATTGTATTGCTTAAGTAATAGATATGTTTGTGTCAATAGTTTCATTACTAGATTATATTTTATAATTTTCCAGAACTAATTCTTTTTAATAATAAATGCTTTAAGAAAAAAAGTGTTTACTTACTTGAATATTGTGAGAAGCAAGTGTTGCTCCTACCTAACTTAACTCTTTATCTCTTGTGTTATTAGATAAATTATGATAGCATCCTGGCAAAACTTACCTGTCAGGACCCTTGCTAATTTTGTTTTGATTCAGTTTCTATTGGCACTTAACATCAAAATCAAATTACAAATATTTGGAAATAAAGAAGAAATGTAGCTCCTTCTCAAATTATAAGATCAGATTCCTGCCCCATTTGTGCCAATAATTCACTGTGTGGTTTTGGAAAATTCACTTCATCCTTTTCACTTCCATAAAGATGGGATTGGGCAGCAAAATCTCTAAAGTTGGTAATAATATTTTTAAGAGTTTATAATTGACTATGAGTTATCAGTAGTCAAGATTCTATTCTATATTCAGTTTCTCAGATGCCTTTTATAAACATAAGAATTAATTTCTTTTTTGTTTCTGGGTCTTTTAATACTAAGGACATGCATGAGTCAAGTATTCTCCTAGGGCTATAGTTCTTGGGAAGACTCTCAGAGGTGAAATTCTCCTAAGAAGAAAAGCAATTACTAAGTTATGTTTACACATAATTATAATGACCTTCCCAGGCTACTTGCATTTCCAACTATCAAATTGAAAATGTTAATATTACTTCTTGGAAAATATTTTTATGTGGTAGTGGAGAATAGGTTCTTATTATCATAAACCGATTCTCAGTATTTTGGGAAGTGCTCTGACTTACTTCAAAGATCAGAGGTCCAGGTTCCACATCTTGATGCGTGCTACTGAAGTAAAGAAAGAACAAGTGGCTCTTGCTTCCAGATTTGTCATTCTTTGTGCTGTAATTAAGATCCTGAAACACTGGATTAAAATTTTGCTGTTTCAATGACAACTTCTCTCGGAAGTCAAGCTTTCCTCCTAAATAGATCCCTCACTGGTTTTGATGTAGTTATAAAGGCAAGCATTTTCATTAAAGTTTGTAAAATGATTCTGTTGACTCTTCCCCAAACAGATTTATACATCTGAGATATTGTCATAGGTACTTATTCTTTGATTTGCTTGTTGTTGTTATGTGCCATTGAGTCACCTGCGACCCATGTTGCTGTTGTTATGTGCCGTCGAGTCGTTTGCGACTCATAGAAACCCTATGAAAGTCTGCGACCCATAGCAGCCTTATTTATAGCAACTGAAGCCTGCACTGTCCTGAGCCAGTCTCGGTGATTCAGACACACCAATCCTCTATTGTGCCAGATACTGTTATCAACCCACCTCATACAGGGTCTTCCTCTTCTTCACTGTCCCTCCACCCTTTCAAGCATGATGTCCTTCTCCAAGGACCCATCCCTTCTGGCCATGTGCCAAAAGTTTGGGAGAAGGAGCTTTAAAATTCTAACCTCCAAGGAGAAATTTTATTTCACACTCTCCAATAAAGACTTGTTTTCTTGACATTCCATACCAAGACAAACTAATTTCAATCTTAATTCTAGATGCTTTGCTTTCTTGGGAAATGTTCGACACTTCTTTTTCTTGGGAAGATTGGGTATACTATAGATATACTAAGAGCATGCTGAGAGATATCGATAACAATTTTTTTATGGATTAAGGTGTGTATCTTGCTTGAGTTTTCTGCAGATAGTTTTCCAATTTTGCCAACACCATTTGTTTAAAAGGCTGTTGTTTTCCCACTTGACTGATTTAATCTCCTTGTCAAAAATAATTTGCCCATAGGTAGATGGGCTGATTTCTGGATTCCCAGTTCTATTCCATTGATCTATGTGTCTGTCATTGTACCAGTACCAAGCTATCTTGATCACTAGAGCAGTGTAGTTGGATTTGAAATAAGGGAGTGAGATGCCTCCTACCTTATTTCTCTTTTTAAGAAGTGCTTTGCTTATTCGGGGCCTCTTTTGATTCCAGATGAAATTGGAAATAGTTTTTTTCATAGTGCTGAAGAATGGAATTAGTATTTGCATTGGTTTTGCACTGAAGGTGTAAATTGCCTTTGGTAGTATTGCAGTTTTCACAATATTGAGTCTTCCTACCCATGAGCAAGAGATATTCTTCCACTTCTCCAGGTCTCTTTTTGTTTCTTATAGTAATGTTTTTTAATTTTATTTAAATAGATCCTTTGTGCTTCTGGTAGATCCAAACCTCAGTCCATACACAAAAACCAACTCAAAGTGGATTATGGACCTAGGACTAAAACCAAGAACTATAAACTTCATTAAAGAAAAGCTTGGAAGAACCCTAGAAGTCCTAATTCCTAACATAAACAGTCTTCCAAGCATCCTGGAAAATGTACACCCAGGAGAGGATAAAATAGGTGAATGTGACCTTCTAAGAATCAAATCCTTATGCACATCTAAAAACTTCTCAAACAGGATAGACAGATTTGGGAAAAAAATATTTGATAATGATATGTCAGACAAGGGACTTATATCTAGAATTTATAAAATATTCTGGCACAACAAAAAGATGAAGGTAAATAACCCAATTAAAAACTAGGCACAGGGTATGAACAGACACTTCACCAAAGAATTTTACACAACAGCAAACAACAAATGCTGGTGAGGTTGTAGAGAAACTGGAACCCTTATTCACTGTTAGTGGGGGTGTAAAATGGTGTAACCTCTTTGGAAGGCTGTATGGCACTTTCTCAAAAGGTTGCAAATAGAAATATCATTTGAGCCAGCAATTCCACTTCTGGAAATTTACCCTAAAGAAACAATAACCATCATCCAAGCAGATATATGCACACCCACGTTTATTGTGGCTTTGTTCACAATAGCAAATAGCTGTAAACAACCCAAGTGCCCATCAGCAAATGAATAGATAGAGAAGTTCTGGTATATTCACACAATGGAATACTATACAGCACTGAAAAACAAGGAACTCATGAAATACTATACTAAGTGGATGGCATTATACTAGGGGATATTATACTGAGAGAACCATCTCAGTCACAAAAAGACAAATATTGCATATGGCCACTATTGTAAAACAGGACTGACATTGGAGTTGAGGGAAAACTGAGAAGAAGGGGAGGAATGTATACTGTATTTCAACAGATGAGGGAAAGAACTGTTTAAAAGGGATATATGATTAGGTATTATTGTCATCAAAGGAGTCCAGAATGATGGCTTGCACAGTGCAGTGGACTTGGGGGGAGATATTGTATAACAATGAAAAAATTTTTCTTTTACTCATCAGGGAGAAAAGTGAATTGGGGGAAGGGGTTAGGCAGGTAGAAAAGTGCAACAGTGAATGAATGGAAACCCTAAGTCTCTGTAAACTTTCATTAAATTCAATTAAAAAACATTTTAAATCTCAAAATAATCAAAGTGGGAATGAATATCAGTCTAAAAAAGCATTGCCTATTTCCAAACTCACTGATATTTTGGAAAAGACGTCAATGATGTGAATTCTACATAAAATAATTACAACTCCAATACTGAGCATTTCTATACTATTTCTATACTATTGTTGTTGTTAGGTGCTATTAAGCCTACTACAACTCATAAAGACCTTGTGTATAGAAACATGTGAACCTTGCCTAAGCACTTCCACCCTCACCATCTCTAATATGCTCAAGCACATAATTGCAGTCAATATATCAAATTGACTTGTTGGAGCTTTTACTCTCTTTCTTCGATCATCTGCTTTATCCTTATTCTTTTCCAAGGACTGATAACTCCAAAGAATATGACCAAAATATGTGAGAAAAAGTGTTGATAGTGGAAACAAGCAAACTGAAGAGTTTGTTAAATCTCAAACTCTTCACCATCTATCATGATGCCACCAGTTGGCCCAGTGGTGAAAATCTTTGTTTTCTTTTATTATTTTTACTATACCAGTTTATTTAAAAAAATTCAAATACATTGTTTTTCAGAACAGATTCTTCCAAAATTGTACAACTCCATGATTAATCCCCCTTCCTCTGCATATCCTCATCCCTCTGTTTCCACTCCCCTTGGATCCTTATACTCATTCTACAACAATAGTTTTATACAATATTCGTCCTTGTGGGACTGAGTTAATTCACACAGAATTATGCTCTCCAGTCCTAGTAGTCCATGGTATATTCATGGTGTAATAGGGG